TTGAGGGAGGGCTATATAACTGGGTGTTCTCTGTAACTTGTACCATGACTGGTGCAGAGATTGAGCCTAGTGCCCAGGCCAAGCCTGAAAAGAAGACTGGGGAAGAGGCTGTGGCTGGGGCTGAGAGAGAAAATGAAGTCCCTCTCGTCGTCAGGCCCAAGGTTAGGACTCAGACCCAGGTAACTTCCGGGGCAAAGTCCAAAACTGAGAACAAGCCTGTGCCTGGGGCAAGGCCTAAAACTGAGGCCCAGGCAGTGGCTGGGGCAAGACCTAAAAATGAGGCCCAGGCAATGCCTGGGGCAAGGCCCAAAAATGAGGCCCAGACAATGGCTGGGGCAAGGCCCAAAAATGAGGCCAAGGCAGTAGGTGGAGCACGTCCTAAGACTGAGGCCAAGGTAATTCCTGGGGCAAGGCCCCAGGATGAAGCCCAGGCATGGGCCCAGACTGAGTTTGCGGCTGAGGCAATGTCACAGGCAGAGGGAGTGTCCCAGACTAATGCCGTTTCCTGGCCACTGGTCAGTACCGAGTCTGGGTCAGTTACTAAATCTAAGGGACTATCTATCGATAGAGAACTAGCGAATATGGATGCTGAAACCTTTCCTGGCTCCCAGGCTCAGAAAGGAATCCAACCCTGGTTTGGACCAGGGGACGAACCTACCATGGGGTCTTGGTGCTATCCCAGGCCCAGGGCCAGAGAGGAGGCCTCTAATGAGTCTGGATTTTGGTCAGCAGATGAGACCTCTACGGTGTCTTCTTTCTGGTCTGGAGAAGAGACCAGTATCAGGTCATGGCCCAGGGAAGAAGCCAATACCAGGTCCAGGCACAGGGCTAAGCACCAGACTAACCCCAGGTCCAGGCCCAGATCCAAGCAAGAACCCTATATTGATTCCTGGTCTGGGTCTGAGGATGAGGCTGGCAACCCATTCTGCCTCTGGCCTGGAGAAAATACCAATAACTTGTTCAGGCCCACAGTCAGAGAAGAGGCAAATGTCAGGTCCAAGCTCAGGACAAAGAGAGAAGACTGCTTTGAATCTGAGTCTGAAGATGAGTTCTATAAGGAATCCTGGTTTTTGCCTGGAGAAGAAGCCAATAGTAGATTCAGGCACAGAGACAAGGAAGAGCCTAATACCATCCTGAAATCCAGGGCCCAGAAGGATGTTCATAATGGTGATAGGGTCAAACAAGAGCCCAAGTTTGAGGAGGACGTCATTATTGGATCCTGGTTCTGGGCAGAAAAAGAGGCCAATTTGGAAGCTGGGGCTTCAGCAATCTGTGAATCTGAGCCAGGGGCTGAGGAGGGGGCCATAGGCGGATCTTTGTTCTGGGCCGAGGAAAAGTCCAGTTTGGGGGCTGTGGCCAGAGAAGAGGCCAGGCCAGAGTCTGAAGAAGAGGCCATATTTGGGTCCTGGTTCTGGGACAGAGATGAGGCCTGCTTTGACCTAAATCCCAGTCCTGTGTACAGGGCTAGTAACAGGTTCAGAGATTCAGCTGGGGTGGAGCTTAATGTATCCTCCAGGCCCCAAACCTGGGAAGAGGTCACTGTTGAATTCAAACCTGGTCCTTGTCATGGGATTGGCTTCCCTTCCACCACCCCCTTTAGAATTCCTGAAGAGGCTTACAAAATGTTTGAGGCAAATCCCAAGGACACAGAACTTAGCCCAGAAGGGGAAGAGCAGGAATCTGTACCTCAGCCTGATCAGCCTGATGCTGAGTTCCCATTTCAGTATGATTCTTCCTACCGGTCAGTCCAGGAAATTCGAGAGCATCTTAGGGCCAAGGCGAGTGCAGAGCCTGAGAATTGGTCCTGCAGCTGCATACAGTGTGAGCTTAAAATTGGTTCTGAAGAGTTCGAAGAACTCCTTTTATTACGGGAAAAAATTCGGGATCCTTTTGTTCATGAAATATCTAAAATTGCAATGGGTATGAGAAGTGCTTCTCAATTTACCCGAGATTTCATTCGTGATTCGGGTGTTGTCTCACTTATTGAAACGTTGCTCAATTATCCATCCTCCCGAGTTAGGACAAGTTTTCTGGAAAATATGATTCACATGGCTCCACCTTATCCAAATCTAAACATGATTGAGACATTCATATGTCAGGTGTGTGAGGAAACCCTTGCTCATGGTGTGAATTCCCTTGAGCAGCTGACTGGAATAAGGATGCTTAGACACCTTACTGTGACTACTGACTATCACGTACTGATTGCCAATTATATGTCTGGGTTTCTCTCCTTGTTAACCACAGCCAATGCGAGAACAAAGTTTCATGTTCTGAAAATGCTACTGAATTTGTCTGACAATCCTGCTGTGGCAAAAAAACTATTCAGTGCCAAAGCTCTTTCAATATTTGTGGGTCTCTTTAACATAGAAGAGACAAATGATAATATCCAAATTGTTATTAAGATGTTTCAGAATATCAGTAACATTATAAAAAGTGGAAGGATGTCCTTAATTGATGATGATTTCAATCTTGAGCCGCTTATTTCCGCATTCCGTGAATTTGAGGAGTTAGCTAAGCAACTACAAGCCCAAATAGACAATCAAAATGATCCCGAGGCGGGACAACAAAGCTAATATGATTACACACCTGCCGCTGATCAGCCTTATGTTCCCAAAGAGACCTGAGTAGTGCTTTGGTGTTCACAGTCTGGTTTTGTGTTGTAACTTATATTTTTAATGCTGATGTTAAATTTGTCAAACTCTTGTTCTGCGCTGGATCATTTTGTGAATGCCAAATGAATATTAGAGCTGTAAACGCAGTTGTTGATATTTGTCTTCTTGTCCAGATTGTGATATTTTTCAGTATTAAGCTTCCAATGAGCTGAGTCACCTGAGTAAGCTATCCTGCTATTCATTGTTTAAATATATGGTTCTCTATTCGAGTCTGTGTTTTCAATAAAGTTCTATGTTAAAATTGGCATTAATGACCCTTCTTCATTTTAAAAACTAGAAGCAAATACATTATGCATCCTTACAAAGGTAATTAATAATATGACAAACATACGCTCATTATAAAATACTACTCTTTGAGTTTATGAAGGGAGAGATTACTGTGAGCTGTGGTACTTGAGGAATGTTGCAGAGAAGAGGGACTCACTTAAATTGGTCACTGAAGGGTAGGATAAGGAAGTCATTAGGTCATTCTCGAAACTGGGCAGTGGTAGTATAAACAAAAGTGTGTAATTGGAAAATCTGTTCCAGCAGCATGGATTTACCCAGTCTGCCTTAAATAGGTAAGAGGAGTTTGGTGAGAAAGGCAGTTGGCAAGTTGGGATGAGGCCAGTTTGGGGAACCGAGTATGCCAAATATGTACATTTTACAATTCAAAGTACAGGTGTTGCTTCAATGCCACTTAAAGGCTGAAAGAAAGAGTAGAATAGCACACCAATTAAATGGAGCCAGGAGTAGGATCTCCTTTAAGTTCCTAGACCAAGGAAAGTGTTAAGGAAATACCATGTAGCCATTGAAATGATCGGTTTATAGACATTAAATTATATTGATTATATTCGGTGAAATAGAGAAGAATGTGATATCATCTATAGAAAATTAGATCACGTTAAAATGTGTGTAAAGAGATGCAATTTCAATATGGCTTTCTAAGCAACATCCTATATTCCACAATCTGGAATGAAATATACCATGTTAAAAAATTATCAAGAACAGGCATTGGGAAAATATAAAAGATACAAAAATTAATATGCTTACAGTACCTTCAGTTATAGACTGGCATGCTGGAAAGGATACAGTTATAAAAATGAAAAAACAGTGTTATAAATTTTTAGAGAAGAAATCATTTAGAAAAGTTGTAAATGAGTGAGATTTTGGAAAGACTAGCATTTTATATGAAATGTTTCAAGAAATATGAAATTACCAAGTTTGCTAAATTTATATTAATCCGTTCATGCTACAAAAATGGCAGCTTTTTCACATGATTGTTACATCCAAAAGATCATAGCATTTCCTTTGGAGGTGACAACAAAGTTCCGGAGTTAGTGGTGATGGTTGCACAACATTGTGAATGTACCACTGAATTGTAGACTTTAAAATGGTTAAAATGATAAATTTTATGTTATGTGTATTTTGCCACAGTAATTTTTTTAAAAACCACACCATTACTTTAGGCAAGAGAATTGGAAAAGTCAGGTATAGAGTTGGTTTGGACAGGGAATTCAGACGTCTGGGAAATATCAAATGTTTTATTATTTTTAGACATGGTGAAATGTTACTTCTTTTTTGTCTGAGGATGCTGTAAATTTTCAAAAATAAAATTAAGACTCATGTAAATTAAAAATGAACATGTGAAAGATTTTTTCACAATTAATGAACAACTGCTAAGATTAAGAAAATGGTTGAAGGAGATTTGTGCATACAATACACACTATATAAAGATATAAACAAAATATATGTACATTAAATTGCATACACATAGGAAATTAATAAATGTTAGAACAACATTGCATTAAATACAAAACTGGTTAATATCATACAAAGCCATAACTTGAAACATTTAAGGCTTTCTGTTCCACTGGACAGAAATCATTTACATATTTGTTCAACAAATAATCTACCAGTTAACATCAGTCACTACAGAGTTGATAGTTCAATCAGTAGAAAGCCCAGCACTGTACTGAAATAATATCCAGTAACCTACGTTAACTTTACCTAAGTTTTGTATAATTTTTCTAACAGTGCAACATACTTTTTTCCCACCTGATGGTAGTATGCTAAGATTTATG